CCCCCCGCCTTTCCTGCACACACCAGTAGAATTTCAGAGAGAAAATGCAGAATTATGGAGCCAACTCAAATCAATTACGAAGTCTTAAACCATAGTTTGTACAGAACATGGATCGCTCCCATCTGAAAGAACTATATCCTACTTTCTTTCTATCTCTAATTAATTATAAAGTTGTAAGAAAAAAGAAAAATACACAAGTGAGGCATTTTCACCCTGCTTTATTCCCTTATTCACAAACACCAGTTAGCCGGAGAAGGAATAGCAATGCTGATTTCCACCCCTTCCTCCCAGCTTCGGGACAGGCCGTGGCATTTACAGACATTTCAGATACGAAGTCACCTTGTTTAAGTGTTCTCTCATCTTTGCCTTTGGTTTTTCAGATGCGGCGACATCCTGCTCGCTGTCAACGGCAGGAACACGTCGGGGATGATGCACGCCTGCTTGGCGAGGATGCTCAAAGAACTGAAAGGCAAAATCACTCTCACCATTGCGTCCTGGCCTGGCACTTTTTTATAAAACCAGTCTTCGTGGAGAGCACAAGTAGTTTAGCACGGAAAAAAGAAAAGGAACATCAGTCTTTGCTTTTTGAGGGGGTCAAGTATGTGTTTTAGAAAGAAAAGGTTTGTGAAATTTCAACCTGCATGTCAAGAAAAGTCAAGTTTAGGCAAAGCAGGGACAGCTGTTAGAAAAACCACTGCGGCGTGATTGAAGCGACAGACTTCAGTCTTTCCTCCTCTGTGTTCTTAAGGGGGGTTTGTTGGGTTTTTTTATATATATATATTTAATGCATTACAAGAATAATGACATTCAAGGAGCAGCAGCTCCCGCTCACCCATTTTATTTTGATTTACAAAAAGAAATCCTTGAATAACTTATGGCAAAATTTCTTGCAATTTTTCTAGTTGCAAAAGTCCAGTGCAGGTTTTTATCCGACACAATAATAGCACTTTGATTACGTGTACCTTTTCATGGTCAGCACGAAGCTGGGCTTTTCAAGACTTTCAAGTACTGTTTGTTAGTCTGTAAAACTGTGAATTAAATTTCTAAAATAATTAAAAATAACTGTAACTGTGTCCTTGTACAGACATTATTTTTATTCGAAACTGAATGACCTCGCTTCCCCGGGATGTTTTGATTAATACTATTAAATCTAGGAATTTTATACGGAATTATTGTTTTTAAGGAACCGCACCCTGCTAACACCACCAAGAAAGTCTTCTAACTAGCACCCTGACAGGGCAGTACTATATTCCAGGACTGCCACGCCAATCATACTCAATACTCATCTGGATGGAGTGAATCTGAAAGTGATGATGGTCTGATATTTCTCTTAAAACAGATCTTCGGCTTTCTCTGCAAATCACCCATGTCCCAAAGTGTTTTTTTTTCCCCCTCACAAGCTAGCAATGGGAAGAGGATCCGCTTGTTCATCTTTGTCACTTTAAGGACAGCTGTTCCCCTCGAACAAAGACCGAAAGGAACTTTCTCTCCAGCCACTGCGAAGCAGCAGGGATGATTCTCCAGCTTAACTCACCCTTACGCACCCACGCAAACCAGGCGTAACTCCCCAGGGTATAATCACCACACTCGGTGTTCCATCAGACTAAGAACAACCAGCACTGGTCCTCGTTTAATTAATTTTTTTCATTTCACGAGGTTCTTGATGAGTCTGCAATCCCTGCCTGTCCCTGTAGTAAAGGATGACCTTTTCAAATATGAACTCCAAAAGCTACACTAAACCCACACTGTTCCAGCTGTGTATATATATAATAAAGTGAATTATTATATATCTATATAATAAAGTGAATGCATACTGTTTCTAAAGTCAGTAAAAGAATGACCTTCCCACTGGCTCATGAGAAAAGGAGACAACACAAAGAATTTAAGCCCTACGTATATGTTAAGAGCACAAGCCTCTAGCTGTAAGATGTTTTCTCACTGTTTCTTAAAAGACAAAAGTCAGTCCAGGAATCTTAACATGAAAAATTCATTCTTTTATTTTCAAAAAAAAAACCAAAGTAACCTTTGATTTCAAACTAACAGAACAAGAATAAGAGCAAATTATTTTAATACCCAGAAAAATAACGAGATTTATAGTAATCTATTTCTGGCACTAATATATATGCAAGTAGGCAAAAATCACACAAGCCTATTCCACAGGGGCAGCTTCAGTGTTTTCCTGCTCAGGAGCAGGTTCACCGCTGGTCTCTTTTCCTTCTTTGCTTCTTTTGGATTTTTTGTGTTTGTGCCTTCTGTGGCTGTCCCCTTCTTCACTGTCGTGACGACGTCTGCTGTTACTAAAGGGAGAGAAAAAAAACAACCCTCAAATAATTGCATGATGCTTCAGGCCCCATTTAATTGCAGAATACCAAAAAAAACAGCCTTTGCATTTGTATTTGCAAACTGGCACCTGCTCCTGTTCCGACCCATGTAGTATGCGGACGTCAGCGCCACACTGAATTGTTCACGGAATGGCACGTACATCCACCCATCCCGCACTTCTTGCTGGGAAACTGGGATGATTTTTCAAATTTGGAACTCCTTTTAACAATGTCGTGTCCCTACTGGCATCCCTTCATCGTTCAACATTCGCATTGACCCCCTTCCCTCGACTTCACCTTTATTTCTAAATTAAAAAGGATCAAGTTGAACAATTCCCACCAAGTGCCCACCACGGTTATTTTACTGCCTAAGAACCACTGCTGAGTAGTTCTGTTAATGCTGCCCAAAGTCAGCTTCACTCCACCTCTCTCTGACCCATCACTTT